ACGTAGGCTATCGAATCCGACTTGGGGTAAGGCGCAACTAGCTTATTTTGTACATAGTAGCTTTTCAACAATATATTAAAAGATTATTGAGGAAGCTTCTTAACAAAATATTAAAAGCCCTGATCTGAATTTCGCTACTATGGTCCAAAATGGCTTTCTTCAATCGCCGCTTTTCCATCTCTTTCCAAGTAGATTTTCGAGATCTGCCTATTACGCTGAATTACCCGCATAGAATCTCTTTTTTTCAAAAAATCGGATAATACGCATCCTTCTACATAACTGATAAAAGCACTACGTAGACAAATCTAAGAAACGCCCGATTACCATACTAAGATATACTCGATTTCGTTCTTCATTTTTGTAAGTAAAATCTCCAATTTACACAAATTTGCAAGAAAATCTGTGCTAATTACCATTTATGCAAATTCGCAGGTAAACATGATGGCCAACCGGAACCATCAGACGGCAAAATGGCTGCATTCGTAATACGAACAAACGTGTATCGTGTGTAATTTCATGCATTTCACATATTTCACAATTTCGGTACTCGCGTGCTGCAAAAAACCGGTAAGTATGGCTTGACATAGTTACACATAGCCTGTGACTGTAAGATCGAGAAATTCACAATGGTAGAAATCAAGCTTAAGTTCAGCCGTGCTGAATTTCTTTTGGTTTGCACAGTCCCTTACTTTATATTGGTATGCTTCGGCCTATCTACGGCTGCAAATTACCACTTCAAAACTTCGGCCTCTCCGTCGATCCTGTTTGAGACGACCAATTTTGGCTAGGCCTCTTATGGCCCTTCTTTTCTTTTCTATTTCTATTTGTTTTTAAACAAAACAAAATTCAGGTTTTACAAGTTTTGACTTTATTTTTGTTCCTTTTCCTAATCCGTAAGATATCTCATCGTGATCTGGAAATAAGTAACATCCGAGACGAGTTTCCCGACGCTCAACCCATCCCAATGGAATCTCGAAACGACTAAAGTTCTGCTAAGTGCTCCAAATATGAAAACCATCAAAATGGCAATTCCCTTCAAAAAATGAAACGAAAGACAGGAATTCCAGCAGTAAAATAACTATCAGGCAATTCAGTACTGGTCAAAGCAGTTGAAAATTTTGCCGCCTGAACAGTTGGCAAACCAAAATGCGAATTTTGTCTTAAGGTGTAGATGACTTACTGGATCGAAACGTCTTATCTCACTCTTATCGCCTTCTCTCATATTGTAATCTATCGTGCCTTCGCCATTTAGGCTTCCAGGGTTAACCTGGTTGCTACAGTCTCCTTATAGCTACTTCAAACATTCCAGATAGTGGAATCGCGAATGAATGGTTGAACAATACGCATTTAGGCGGGTGGGTATCACGGAGTAGTTTTATAGGTGGGAATCATCTCTTCAGTCCGACGTTTCAAGAATATTGATGAGATGCGAAATTTGCGCCAACCGGCAGCTCTCCTTCACCCTGATCTCCGGTCAAAGATTACGGCAAATATTTCCCTTTTGGTTAAAATACAAATATATTTTTGCAAGTCAAGCAATTTTCCCAAAAAGCCCTGAAATGCCAACCTGAATTAGCACAATATGAGCCGGTTGTCCACCGTCGAAGAATACTAGTATCAATGATGTTATTTTGCTGAATGTGTAACATTATTGTATCATCACGCACAGTTACGCTCAAACCGTCGAAAATTGTTTCTGGCATATACGCTATAATTTTTTATTTTTTTTTCGAATATTTCACAGCAAACAATGCTAAATGATTATTTTG